AATGATGAACATAAATTAACAAAGGACTTCTAGCAGTTACTGACATGCCAGTTCCAGACCGCAATTACACTGATTGAAATATTATGTCTTCATCATATGAAAATCAAGCACGATCCCTCTTGTAAGGGGTTTAGTATCATACCATCAGAAAATATACGAGGAGAACACATCCCGTTTCATGTCAATAGCTGGTTTCAGAATAAATGTTTTTATTTCCGACGCAAAGACCCTATGAGTGAATCAATATTAATTCCAAAAATACCATCTTGAATGACTTGACAACCGTATCGTTAATATATCACTTCTGAATAAGTCTGTTTAAAAGTTTGGTTAGCGTTTGAGGTGAATGACGACATTTTGGTTTTATTGTGATTAACAATTGGATCACAGATAAATATTTTGGTATTCTCTCATTTTTATCCTTTTCACCGGGATTTCAGGAAAAAGGCAATAATTATTAAAAATACGTCATTAATATTTTAAAATGCGTTTGACAATTGACTATTTAGTCCCTGTTCTAAAATTTGTCATATTTCCAAACAGAACTTTTATTATTTAGAAGACAGACTATGCAAAAATGTTGACGTCCTGTAAAAAAAGAAATTGTTCGTCCTTGACCTTTAATCGTGATTTGACAGAAATTGCACCGTACGAATAGTTGACAACCGGGCAAAAAAGATAGTACAGATGAAATGCTTTCGAATGATATATGATTTAGCCGTATGTTAGATGGGTGCATTGAAAACGAAATTCTATGGGTAAACATTGATGAAAAATGTGAAAATCATAGAAAATGGGTACTTTCAAATGGTCGTAGAAAAGAAAAAAGTGCACCACCATATGATTTTTTCACCATCAGTTACTTTCTTACAGTCATATAAACCACAAAATCAGGTTAAGAAAAAAAGTTTAATTCTAAAAATGTTTGGCTCCTCAGAGGTGTACATTCTTAAAGCTAAGTTAGCAGTAAAATCTACTTGTATTTGATAACAAAATATGTGAAGATTTAAAAAAAAAACAGTTTTGGTTAATTTCTAATTAAGTTCGATTCCAACAAAATGTGTGTTTTCAGCGAACAAACAATTCATGCAGTTCATGCTCTTGTTCCTCATGCTTCGATGAAATATGCCGAGATAAGATAAGTTAGGTTGGTTGTGTCGAGCAATGCCATTTCATTGGAAGTTTCCATCATACCCTTTTTTATAATCGTTGACCGATGTTTCATTTGTTTTTCCTGAAACTCTTAATTAAAAAAAATGTACAAACCTGCCTCCATCAACAACATCAAAACAAAAGACATTTTTGACAACATATCAACAGCCATTTTGAATAATAAAAGATTTCCCCTTGTTGCAAACAATACGGAAATATTTAATAAGATACTAAACAGAACGAAATGAAATTTCAATTAAAAGCTTATTTCGGAAGCAAATTAATGTAAAATTGTATTCGATATTTATTATTATTTATCAACTTTTTTCTGATGGGGAACTTTTGTATTGTTTTACTTTTCAGGGTTAAAAAAGAAATATAAAAATATTACTAATAAAATGTTAAATGCGGAAATGAATGTTTCTGATTTTAATTGAAAGGCTAGTTTTATTTGATTAAACTTGCTAATTATTCATATCCTTATATAACAGATACTCTGCATTTACCTATGAGTTCAATACTTTCAATGAAACTTTTAAAAACATATATCTTCGACCTTTACCTAACCCAACTATTAAATGTTTTTTTTTCTACAAAAGGCGTTTTTTCTTAAGAATTTGAAACATTGACAAGCTTTGTTTGATAATGTGGTTTTAATAAATTAAGTATCGTTTATGTGATATTATTGTACCAATTATATATCTGCCAATGTATTTTATGTCATATAACAACAAATAAGAAAAATGTATCTAAAAAAATAAAATAAGAAGCCACATAATATAGGTAACGAAATATCGACATCCACGCGGCGGTCAGTTTTTATTGGTAGATGATTGCTCGGAAGGAACAACCGACCTTCGTAGGAAAACTGACAATCCTAGTCAATTAATATTAAAGTCGAGCGCACCTGCCACGTACTTGGACAGTTTTCATGAGACATTCAGATACATTAATGATATCAAATTTGTATTACACTTATAACGTGTAACGGTACTAGTTTGACTGCTCTGGATCCACATTTTTGCTTTTTATATCCCTTCAATAGTCATCGTAGTCATACAAATAGACATTTCCACCACAAGCGAAAATCAAAATAGAAACCGAGACTGACACAGAGACGAAAATCGAAACCAATGATAGCCGAGTGGGTTGATATTCTCTTATATAATTTTCAGTGAGAACTCAAACAGCAGTCAAGGGCGTTACTCAAACATTTTTACAGTTACTTAAATAGGTGATTTTCGTTTTTAAAAATTATTAAATTACTCATGACTTTTTACATCATTTTATGACATAAAATAAGGAATTTATCAAATTTGAGAGGAGTATAGAGATACATTGTAAAAGGTTACTTTGAAAATAATGATACAAATATTACTTGAATAAGTTATTTTATACATCTTTGAAAGAATTAGTAATCACAGTTATTTGAGGAACATAGGTAATTGTTTGGGTTACAAATTATAAATAACGTCAAGTCTTAAATAAATCACAAATGTCTATCTATTTCTATCTGTCTACCTGCAAGATTTGCAAGGAAAGTGATATTTTAATAGTCCAAAATAGACCAATCTTTGACCCAAAAGCATCTATATGAAAAATAAATGCATCAAGAAAAGCAATTAGTCTTTCAGGAGGATTAGTTTTTATATTTCATGGGAAAGATGACTGTGAAAATTTGTTAAAGGTAGAAAAATATGTATGAAAGAATACCGTTAAAAATAATTTAAAAGTTACTAATATAAGTAATATCTAAAATAGCCTCGTTTTCAACATTTTCAAAAATTACTCGTTTAAGCAATGTCCCTGACTGGTCATTTTATTCGTTTATATTGTTTTTAATCTAAATGAATATATCGATGATTAACAGAAATCTTCTGGAACACCTGAGATCACCCCACCTGTGGTGGGGTTCGTGTTACACTATCTTTAGTGTTCTATGTTGTATTTTGTATACTATTGTTTGTCTTTTGGTCTTTTCCTTTTATGCCACTGCATTGTCAGTTTATTTTTGACTTTGTTTTTGAATGTCCCTTTAGTATCTTTCGCCTCTCTTTGACTCGTTAATTCAAATGATATATTTGTTTTTGAAATAGTGAAGATTAAATCAACCACTACTGAATGTACTGGTACAAAGTGTATACCATTTAAAATTTTGATAAGGCAAAATAACATTCGAAATTCAAAAGCATTGAGGACCCAAAATTCCGAATGGTTTTGCAGAATACAGATTCGATAATCTATTCCTAGGCAAGAACATCCTTAGTATGTCGATAATTTCAAAGTTTTATAAACAGTTAAGCTATAATTATGACAATATCAGTGATAATTCATGCCAACACAGAAGTGATGACTACTTGGCTAGTGAGACTATAATATAAAGTTGAGGCTCTTAAGGCCCTATGTCGCTCATCTATATAGGTATATGTGTGTCTTCAACATCGTATACTATCTGACACTGTAGACTAGACTTTAATTAACGATTAAAATTTCTTTGTGGGTGATCTTTTCTTGCTGATAATAATTTACACAAATGTTTTATCGTGCAGTTTCTCTCTATCTATTATAGGTTTCAAGGTTAAAGGCAAAAATACAAAATGTTGGTTGACAACCGAGATCATCGGACACTTTTTTAAACGAGTAACCCCAATGGTGTTCTGGCAAAATAGTTTAAGAGGAGAAGATTTTTGTAACTGACGACTTATGACGATTGATACCGATGGACGACGACGACATACAAAGGACGCTTAGTGCAAGGTAAAGTGGGCTAGATGAGATTATAAATAATCATGGATCAAAACATGACAGAGAAAAAATCTTATCTGATTGAATGAATTTATAATGTTCTACACACTAATATCAGCTGTTGTATTGTAGATTATAGCAATACAGTAATTTATAGATGGTACTGGGAGACGCAGGCTTGTGCCCTGGCAACAAAGAACCTGCTCATAATTACACCATATGTCATGCAGAAACTATTAAAATGTTATTAAGTGATGCTTTATTACAAAAATGTATCTATATGCGCATAGTAATGTTGTTTTTAAAAATCAACCCTTACTAAACATGCTAAACAAATATCTTTTAATGGAACCATGCTAAAACACCAACAAAAAAGAAAAAGAACGGGAAAAAAAATAGGTCAAAACACGTAATATGAGGCTATTTTTTTTTTATTGGAATTTATATCTTGATTAGTTCAAGAAAAAAAAAACATTCAGTGTTTCGTTGATTTCCTTTCCGAATAATACACTTTTCCGACAGTATTGATGTTATACGTTGGTATGGTTGACATTCTTGTCATGATTAATTATTGGACAATTGCACTAATTTACACTAACTCTCAGATATATGTTTTACATTACAGCTATATGATTTAAGATTTTACAACTTTTAAGCTACACTCTCATCTTTTTCATCAATAGATGTTGCTAAAGAATAAATTTTAGATTTGCTTCTAGATGCTCTTAAATCGAGTTCTATACCAAATGGCATTTTAAGTGGTCTTATTGAGATCATATGCAAGAGTCTTTCTTTTAAAGACATTCTTCTGTCGTCTGGTTCGTCATAAATGTGTGTACTTTTAACGTTTATTCTCTCTGAATACGGTAAAACCGCAAATGCACTGTCAGTACTTCTAAGTTCGGACTTATATTTGTTGGAATCGACGATAGCTTCGTCTATACTTATATTACTTTGATTATCCACATCAGAATCGAATACAAACTGTTGATTGTTCAATTGTGTTTGCCAAGCATCACAATAATCACTCGCTTGGCATTTTAATTTTGGACTACCAGATCGTGATGCGCGCCTTTTGATTAAGGATTTGCGCATATTTTGACCTTTTTGTACAACGCTTTTGCTAATCTGAGAAAACAATTTGTTCACTTTAGAGGTTGCAGTGTCCCACGGCTGTTCGAAAACACTGATCACATTAGCTCTACCATGGTGGTATTCATTGTTGTCCGCGAAGCGTGGCGTTGTTTCAGATCGCAATGTGAAATCAAGATGTTGATATTCACTGTTTTCCGTCTTTTGGTAATTCGTGTTTCGACAAGATGCTGTTGCACAGGAACGCGGTCCTTCAATTTCATTACATGTGGAGGCTTTGTCTTTAGGAGTGGAATAATTTTCAGCCAACGCAGCAATTGGTATGGTGTGCTGTGGAGGTCCTTCCATGGCAATGACAATATTTTCTACAGACCTTGAAATAGGAAATGTATATGTTCCCCTATATGAAGTAAATAAATGACGTATCTATACTGAGTAAAAAAAAAATGGGCAAAAAATATTTGTCTTTTTCTCTATTTCAAAAATAAACTATAATTGTACACCTCTGAATAAATCAATAATTTGTGCAAACTAAATTAACTATTAGATGCAAGTTTTAATTTTTTTTGTCTAATTGACTTTGGAATTATCTAATTTAAAGTGTTTACATGAAAATAGATGTTGCTAAACTTATTTTACTCAGTATATGTTGACATTTAGATGTCTTGTTTATTCATATGAGTGATTGACTTTTTCTTTGAAAGACAACCCACGAATTTATTTATTCACTAATAAAATTTTTATAAATTGCGAAGGTTTCTTTAGATAAGAGTCTTTAATATATATTGAACAATGTTTGAACTTTATTATTCGTGTTGAAGTTCATCATTTAAAACTGAAAGCATTTTTCAACATGAACTCCTAAAGTATTTTCTTTTTTGTTCGAAAAAAAATGTCTTTATAATTATGTTCTCATTTTTATGGCTTTTGTAAAATAAATTATCAGATATAATGTTACCTCCTCGTAATGCGAATGCAGCATGCAAGAACTGCAATTAGCATTACCATAGCACACGAACCAAGGATAAAACCTGAAAAAAGAGAGCAAATATAATTTTTTTATGTACCATGTTAATCTCTTTAAATTTTCATTTGTTTGTCTAATGTATCTAATACCTGTACTTTGTTAATACAAACTCGAGATTTTCTATTTACATCGACCAACAGATAAAAGATAATGTTAAGGACAATTGCATTTCAGACCTAATGCTTGTATGTCTAAAACAAAAGGATTGTTTGAACAAAAAAACAAGATACCAATGAATGTGAAGCATCATCTACACGATTTGATAACACATTTTTAATCAAAATTGATCGAAAAAAACATGAAAAAATTTTGAAATCGCAAATGACAAACGTTGTATGAAAATCAAACCATATATCACCATATATGATCCCCAAAACACACTTTGGCGAACGTGAGAATCGAAGATTCAATGAATTATTTATTTTTTAGTGTACACATTTCGTAATGTAAATTATAACTGCATTTAAACATACATGGCTTGTGAAAAACTCAGTTATCCAGCATATATGTCAAGCCAAAACTAAATTACAAAATCTATATTTTAATTGTGTACACCATATATGTTCATTCAACAATTAAGTTAATCATATGACACACAGCGATGCAATGTTACATTTATATGACAATGCTACATATAATAAAAATATAGAGATGATTCACGTTCAAAAAGTAGATACACGTAAGTTCTATTATTTGCAAAATTGATCTTTTAAATATGTTGGCTAATCTATGTAAATCGTGTTATTTTAATACTACAATACTAGCTGGCTGCAAATAGTAAACTATGTCAAGTAAAACTTATACCCGGTTGATTCGAATATCAAAACTATAACTTCTCATTATAAATGTTCAAAGCATAAACCAAGGAATTATTGATGTTTTAAGATGTTTAAAAGTTTAATTTTAAACCCGAGCGTATGTAATAAAGTAACTTTATTAAAAGAATTATAAAATCATAGCAAACGGTATCGTATTTATAATACATAATTAAATGTTTATGTATTGTTCAAGAATATGCACAATATTGCAATATTAATCACATAACTCATAACTGTTCGACAACATATTAAACTGCGTAATTTATTATATCGTGTCTGTTATATTCATATCTATAAAATGCGAAATGTGGATGTGCCAATGAAATATTGCAATTTAATTAGTACGATAAACACAGTATCATGTTTTCGGCATAAGTAATATATCTTTCAATACGTTCCATACAAACAAAAGTAAAAGATAAAACTATTGCCGTCAATCAATGAGATGACATACATTGTTACATTAAGCTTGACATTTCTTTAATGGGAAGTCTCATCATTGAACGTCTTGATTATTAACATTTTAAAATCAGTAATTTTGTAAACAAAACACTATATTGACATTTATATTGTTCATCAATCCTTACATTTAAAATAAAAATAAGGAGACAGTAATGATGGTCAATGAGGAAACTCTACACAAGAGACCAAATGACATAAACGTTTATAACTTTAGGTCACCGTACGACCTTCAACAATGGGCTAAACCTATGGAGCATAGTCAGTTATAAAAGGCCTCGAAATGACAAATGTAAAACGATAATCATTCAAACTAGAAACTATCATCCTGATTTATGTAGAAAATAAAGAACGAAACAAAATATGATATACAACAACAAACGACAACGAATGAATTTCAGACTCCTGAAGGTGGCGGGTTAAACTAGTTTGTTGGCGTAAAACACTTCCGCTTACCTGGGGCAGTGGAGTAACAGTAATGTTCAAAATAGGAAAAAAATATAAAAAAACAGGCCGGACGTAAAAGATATTCATACATTCCAAAAACAAAAAAATATGTAAATATAGATCTGATAGTACTGGCGGTTACTTACAGCTAGTTTGAAGCCAAAATTACTTCATGCATCTTAGACTTAAATGTCAATCAGTATTAATCCAACATCCAATTGGTTTATTGTAAAGACATCTTTAACAATCAGAAAAAAAAACAATAATCTTGTGAAATGCTAAGCTACAGGTGTCGACGGATTGAAGAGGCACGAATGACCAAATGTGGCATATAAGAATAATATTCAGTTTGATTTAAATTTACTGATAAAAAAATCAATATTTATACCAATAAAAACAATATTCAAAGATTTAATTACAGTGCTGAATTGGAACATTTTAGATTACGTTTATTCAAAGGATCGAGTTTTGAAATAAAATGTCAACAGGTACTGTTTGGTTCATAACAAAATAAAATTGCGAAATATATCTCTCCTTAAATTATTTCATATTAAGACAGTACATACCCATTTGAATCAGAAATATTTCGTCATCATTTTCTTCACTTATAGTACTATTTGCAGTTGTAGTGTTGTTTCCACTGTCAGTTGGGAATTTCTGCTCGTAGTTTTTGCTAGACTCTTCTTTATTCATATAATCTGTGATTGTGCTTATGTCGCCATTAGTGGTTTTCTCTGCAAGAGAACATATAATCTAAATTACAATCAACACAAACATAGCGTATTCTTATTTTCTCTGTAGATAACATGTATAATAGTACGATGAGCTATATATCTATGTAAGGTTTAATTGCATTGTTGTGGAAGATCAAACTAGATTTTATCGCAAGATGTACGCTAATGTTTGCAACATTATAATAGGTTTTCAATTAAAAGAGAAAAAGATAATACCCTTCTTTTTAAAACTATTTCCGCAATACGACTGCCTCGTATTCATACACACCTTTAACTTGTCAGTCGTCCTTTTATTGAGATGTATGGATCGTTTAAAAGGTATTTCTAGTCGGTATATTCAGTCTTTTTTGGACTTTCGCACGATGAGTGATGCATCCCATTCAAGTTCCATTCCATAGTTAGTACTTGAACGCCATAACAGCCTTCAAACTTTAAACATAACGTTAGCAGATTACGTTAACAAATATAAGAAAATATTCCGATAACGATGTTTGCTAATTTGTCGAATAGATCATTGTGTGACGCAGTAATATGATTTAGATTAGCATATGTATTATAAATTGATTTCTGCTGTAACTAGCAAATACTTTGTGTGTATGTGTTAAATGGTATCGTTAAGACAAATGCATTACACTTTAACAGATACAATGCCATGGCTGATACATCTTTATTTTTTCTCGTTTTGGTAACAATATTTGAATGCAAGTGTTTTTATTCTGAGGACATTGTTCCCCACACTATTAAGATAACATAATTACAACTGGTGATGTATCTTCATAAACTCTCCCTTCTTTACCTGTGTCACAGTTTTGCTTTTGGAAAAACAACGAAAAATATCTATCTAGGCCTGTATAAGCAATTTTTGACTGAGAACTGTTGCATTGTCTACTTTGTAATTTTACTCCGTTGGAATTTGTGACGAATACATAACTGTGATTTTGTATACCTGTAAATATCCAATAATACATCAATAAATGATGAAGCTAAACAAATGTCAGCAAGTTGAACATGTTTTATTACATTATGTTCAAAATATAGACTCAGTATATGTTTATTTTCTACAATACTTATTGTGGCATCGAAAATGTACAGACACTTTAGTTATGTTTTGTTTAAGCAGCTCACAGTTGTAAATTAGGGCAGGTGTGGATTTCTGACCATCCCTTGTGGACATGTTGCAAAACTATTTTTACGGTTTAAAAAAAGTTTACCAAGTATAATTCATATAACTACAAACACGTCTAAAATTAAACTAGCAACATACTATTTGTCGTTAGGTGTATTCAGATTGTTCAGAAAAAATTCATTTTAAAATCAAAATCAGATTATTTTATTGTATTTGCTATGAAAGATTGTGTTTATTTTTTATTTTTCAGTAACATAAGCCCCGTGACCATGTACATCACAACCAAACAAATTATAAACATGCTATATGTATTATAAAAGTTTCATTAAATTGTTGATATTCGAAAAAAACGAATCTTTTTTTTTAGAGAAAGATAAAATAAATTGCCAAATAAATGCCCTTCTCAAATTTGGACAGGGTTTTTTCCTCGTAACAATTCAAGTAAAACCATTTTTCGAATATAGGATTTTTTTTACCGCAACTTAACCAAAAATCATAAATTGTGATGCATGTGTACATGGGGTATTTATTTGTTTATTTCTTTTAAACACATGTACATGGATCGATATAAATTAGAGTGAATCGAAATTTAGTTCGTTTTCGGGAATTAAGCGTTTATAATTCGCCATTTAATAAATCAACGTAAACAAATGGTAGAGTACCCATATACATAAGTGGTATTATTATTAAAATTGAAAAACCAGTCATAAGAAGCGCATCACAGTTTTTATTAAAACAACATAACACACTATTTTTTTGGTCGGAATGGAATTTGATGATTCGTTTTGGAATGAAAAATGTGAGATAGAGCTTAAAAAGGAGTTTACTAGCGTTTGGTTTAAAAATCATAAATATATTTTACTGTTAAGTCCAAGAACTAATAGAAATGAATACCAGTTATAACGAAAAATGAATGAAATCGACACTACTTAGATTTTACATTTACCAAGGCGAATGCTTTTACCTGTTATCGCGGTCTGCTATCTTGCAATACGAGACTACTTGATCATTTTGTATTGTGTCGACTATTTGTGCATTTGACAGTTAACATCTAGTGTCTTTCACTGAGTTTGTAAAACTGACAAAAACCATATTTCAAATGTCAACATAAAATTGCTTGTAATCAATGGTATAAAATGACTGCGACGACAAATCGATTATATAAGACAAATCATCGTGCCGTTTAGAATGTCTCTCGAATAACCTGATGGTGTCAGCAAAGAATATATTAAAGAAGTAAGTCTGAGCCAGATATACTACATGCTTTCTCAGACATGTCACGTCAATGTCATTGTATGAAGAATTTAAAATAGAATTAGAACTTAACATACTGGAAATTCCAAGATCGCAGGATAAATTTCTATCAAGTATGCGCATAGCAATGGATTCATCCAACCAAACAGAGATAGTAGATTTGTAAAATGTCAACCAATATGACGACAAGCTGGAATCATTGTGTGCGGCTTCAATATTCGGGCACGTCGAATCATTCATGTCAGTTCTGCAATTGTTTACAGTTGAATCTAAGTTAAAGTAAAGTAGAAATACACAACTCAAACAATGCCAAACAGTAATGTCAGAGGTTATAGCGGATTAGAGATTGCAAATATAGATATGGTTCTGAGCATGATATTATCTTTCATAACTTGTTATTGTGTAATTTTTGTGCACCCGTTATACCTGTCAGTCTGCAATACAGATATTTTACACATCTACATGTGTGAAAACGGATAGCTAAAAATCTCAGGATCATTCAAACCGTTTTGTTTCATTGTGTCATTGTAATATAAGACTAGCATTGTTTTTACAAAATGAATGCGATCACGTACTTCGTTCATCGAAGGATTATATCTGGGGTTACTATGAGGTCTCAATAGTTTTTCTCGTTCGCTTAACAATATATCAATTTAAGCTATAGGGTTTCGCTCCTTAGTTGATCCACGTCGTCGAATTCAATATAAGTTGCACAGTTAATATAATTAATCATCCGACGTCAAAAACTTAAAATCCGTTTAGTTTAGATTTTTAAACCGATCAAAGACAGAAATACATTGAAATATCACCTTCGTTATACCTAAATGTACTAATAAAGTCCAGTAGGTTTAATCTGTATTAAATAAAGCTTTATTTACCAAAACTTCTAAAAAATGAAATTAGTTCATATCAAACTTTGTCCGTCAAGAGCAAATTAGGGAATAGATGAAAAATAAGATAACGTATGAAAACTCCTATCACAACTTGTTTGCCTATGCATTTAAGAATCTACAAACTCAGCCTTAGTTAAATTTATGATATATTCAGCATGCTTTTCACTATTTATTTTCATTGGTCATGTGTTTGAACTGTTTAGCATAAAACTTTCCGTCTTTGCAAAACTTACCTGAAATATTGCTATGCTTCGCTTTCTCTCTGGAAAATTGAACCTACCTGCGTCTTGTTGATTTTCACAAAAGTCTTCTGTTCGGTCGACGCAACTTTTTTTTGCTATTATACACGAATGGACAATTGAACCATCTTCTGAACATTCATTCTTTGTTTTCTTAATACACGAATTGAATGTGTCCTGAATGCCATACGGTTCTAAAGATCAATGATATATTTGAACATGGTATTAAACACTTACTATAAAAAGAAGAATTTTTCATTATCGTTGTTCATTGACGCAAACCTAAATTGGGAATGTTTTTATTGATTGATTAACATATAAGAAAATAAGACGATATAAAACAGTGTATAATTCCATAAATCTCGTTTGTCGATTGTAATGGCGATGACAACGAATACTCGAATACTTACTTAGAAGATTGTGTAGTCGAGTGCAAGTTTGATTGATACTTAGATCCTCCCGCGCAATTTATTTCAACATGATTTTAATTCGTTGGAATTTTTCTCCCTTATCGCATTATAGTGTTAACTGTTTTGTTGATAGCGAGTCTACATTTATAAAACAAAACATATGCCACAAAAGTGAATTAACCATCATCTGTGGTCTTGACTTAGTTTATATATATTGTCGAATAGTCAAATGTAAAGGTGATAATATGTTATGTTTGTGATGCAGAAAACATATAAAACATATATTGGTGTTGCAATACAGACACGCATAATAAAGCAAACATTAAACACACATCTCTGTGTCTGTAAGAATCACCTAAAATGTCATAACAAAAAATTAAAATGATTCTAACATTAATTTAAAGAATTAGACGTCAATTCAAAAACGAGTATGTTCGTTTGAAACTGCTCATCGTTATAGATAAGATAGGAACAATCGAAGTGCATCATGTACCAGATCTCAAAATGCTCACAATCAATACTATCAAATCACAAACAAAAAATATTTGCGAAAAAAAACACCGATGATTTTCGAACGTTCAGCTGTTGAACATGTATCCTTTATTTACAGACTATTGGTTTCCTTAGAACTAAGTAGGGTACGACAATACTAAAAAAGACAATACAATCACAAAACACAATACACTGAAAACTGCTAGTGTTGATACCATCTAAAAAGTCGAGTACTTGAGAGTTTTCAATCAAGTACTCTTCAATTATTCCGCAAAAGTAAATTGCCATCCAAATTTTACTGGTTTAAGTACATTTAATATACATCCATGGATCGAACAAATACAAATAAAGGAAATACGAATAAAAGGAAATGCAGTAGCAACATATGTGGTACCAACTTTGCTGCACCAGTTGCCCATTTTCACATTTAATGTTCAGTGATGCTCGAAATCAGGCGAATAGAAAATACGAAACCTTATTCGCAGTTTGAAGCTGTTGTTAATAACAAAAAAGCACCAACAAGTATTACCAACCTCAGCCAAGATATATTTGTTTTCTACTAAACACATAGTCACGCACAAACAATTAAAACACTAATCTTTGCATCTTTTGAATTTATAAATCTCAAACATGCGCACATTTTTTTTCTGAACTACAGTTTCACATCATATGTATTGCATGGATAGTATGAACGTTTAACTTTTGGGGGTGAATGTTCTTTCTTAGAAATGTTTTCCTAATATTTAACAGACAACATCACAGATCCTTAGAATTGTATGGTTCTATCAATATCGCAGCTGAACAATTTTAATTGAGAGGCGTAATCATATTTCATTCATTATTAAAAAGAAATAAGATAAAAGATAAAAAAAATAAAACACCCAATCAATGGCATAATAATAAACTAAAAACGACGAAAAGGGCAAACAAAAGTCTGCAAAATACTCCAAAGACAAATACACACTTAGATATACAAACATCATATACCAAAAACTGGATGCTATCTGGTGTGCTTAGAATGGTAATCAGTACCTCCCCTTATGTGACACCAGTCGTGTTAATCAAGTGCATATATGATGACACAATAATGAGAAAGAATATGGAATTATTACTACGATAATTTGAACATGGCATGTGTGACACAATTATTACATATCGATTAACAAAACAATTATCATGGTGAATGTAGCAACCGTATGTCACAAATGTCATCATGTATACTTGAATCAACTTGGAGACAACATATTATCGCATCTCGGATAAATAGTGACGTTGTGATTAGTTTTTTACGCCGTCACGTAGTGACCGCCTAACGATCCGTATGGGATTCATGACGTCATGTCTACAATAAAAAGTGACGTCAGTTATTTATGAATAGGTATGTTATTGTTCATTATTTTTACAAAACGTGATAGGAAAAGTCCCATGTGTGATAAATTTGTTATACGGTTGGCTATACATTTTAAATGATTATATTACGGTTAATTGAACGTAAGATAGTCAAAACATATCTACATACTGCTGGTAATGCAAATTAATCTTACCTAAGTTATGTTCATAAATAGAGTAATATGTATCTGACGATGATCCACATGTACGCCATGGATCTGTCGATGTACAACATGCAATGCAATCAGTTGTTGTGACTACACCCTGGAAACCACCTTCTTCAATATCTGTTTTGTTCAAACACACACACAATTGTTCCTGTCCAAATGTAAAACAAAACATTAAACAGAAACTATAATGATTAAATTCATGTTTCAATCGCTTCATTTGCATAATATACTTATATTATTAATTTTATTTTGGCTTTTAACTTGCTTTTAATAACTACGAGTACTCTCCAATCGTACATTTGTGTTAATTTGACCTGTTGATACATATTGTAATGCTTTTTTGTTATTTAATGTTTACATACCTAGTGTTATATATCTCGTCTCTCTATTTTCAAAATATACCACCTTTGGTAAGTGTTTGGTATGACTTAAAAAAATTTCACTTTTGTTCTCGTACTATGAACAACAAAATTATTTATATTGTAAAAAGTATTTCCGTTCTCCATTTATACTGTATACCTCACAACAACATTATTTTCATTTACCAGTGTACATTATTCTATTTGGCGGCATTTATTTCAAGATTATGGTTGTCTTTCTGAAATTGTTTAACATCTCACCTTTTATTTTATTGATTTTTTAATGATATTGTGTCATAGATCAAATTTATTCGTTCAGTGTATATATGTTCTCTTGTGTTAATATGTCTTTTGATTGAGTTAAGCCATTTCAATTGATATTTTTTAGTATGTCTTTCTATGTTGTGATGTTACACTATTGTGTTAGGTAAGGGTGGAGGTTAGTACCTATTAAAACATTAAAACCCACTGCATTTGTTTGCACCTGTCCTAAGTTAGGAACCTGATGTTCAGTGGTTGTCTTTTGTTGATGTGGTTCATAAGTGTTTCTCGTTTCTCGTTTTTTTTTTATATTGATTAGACCGTTGGTTTTCCCGTTTGAATGGTTTTACACTAGTCATTTTTGGGGCCCTTTATAGCTTGCTGTTCTGTGTGAGCCAAGGCTCCGTGTTGAAGACCGTACTTTGACCTATAAAGGTTTACTTTTACAAATTGTGACTTAGATGGAGAGTTGTCTCATTGGCACTCATACCACATCTTCTTATATCTATTATCTCCTTTTTCAATGTTAAACACTAGATAACTATTAACACTTTCTTCTTTTAATCTTTCAAAACTCATATGATATATAGCTATTTCTAAACAATCCAATTATGTTAACACATTAAGATTGAAACAAGTAATTTCTTATGAATATTTGAATAGTTACCTTTAATCCTAAATACTGATAAGTTGTGCAAAGTAAAGAGCACAGTGCTGGTGAATTCTCTTTCAATGTAATATTCTTATTTATGCGTTTTGTTAAGAAGAAACAACCTAAAAAAATAATGTGTTGTGTTAGATAATGCTAAGCAAAGGAAACACCATTTGTACTGAATAGAAAACAGATTAGTACGGAAATGAAATAATACACGACAAATTTATAGAGTTATACCGATCATAACCATGCTATCGGCGTATTTGATAATTAATTAATTATGCTAGCTGCTAGTTGTTAGCACTGCAATATAGTCAATTATCTATGCCGAGGTATTAATAACAATTCTATCAAAGGATACACATACGTGCACACACATGCGCAATCACAGTTAAATCAAAGTATAATTAATCAATCGTGGCATGGACAAAATAAAATTCTACGTGTTATTAAATTTCAATATAATAATTTCCTAATTATAGGTCTTTATTCAACATATGCACACCCTTGTTTTACACGCTGCACAGATGAAGCAGGAAGATTGCATCGTTACTAAAAAAAACAACGAAGTAAAAAACCGCAAATAATTCCGTATGTTTGTGTAACAGTACAGTATATTATCTGAAATTGATGTTTATTTCTTTCTTGACCTGATTCGTATCCTAAAGGAGTTTAATCAAACGATTGTTCTATATCTTACATTTTACTTTTTACTTCTATGCATGTGTACTAAAAAGACATTCAAAATTCAAATTATTTTTTTATTTAAAGAGCGATAGACGATTGATATTCTTTTAATAATTTCTTATTTTGCTTCAAGATTTCAATTATATGTCATGTCTTTATTTGAAATGCTGACTGATGAACTGGTTTATACCATCTGAGACATCAGCACTATCACCAGCAGTGGAATCAAACCAGTGTTTGTAAAAACTCATCGAAGATAAATAGACTTATTTCCATTCTCAATTTTAGTATAATATATTTCGCTAGACATGCATTTTGCGTTAAAGTAATGCATGTTATCAATTAGTAATAATCATTTAAAATTTTGGTGGCTATGTTGACTGCATCTATATATCACACCGAACTTGAAACACGTATAGTTAATTTGCTTCATATCTTGACTTTAATTTAAACATTGAGAAATGTGTGTTGATTTAATGTCTAATCTAAAATGACGATATTGATATTACCCTTATTTATTTGTGCCAAAATATTCCAACAACGCCTGAGTAATAAATATGTATCTCCATTTTGACACACTTATCACTAGCTTGTTATTCCTTTAATGCATTTCCTGATAGAGGAGTATTGTTTACAAGGAAGAATCCATGTCAAGGGTACTAAATAATTAAGATAACCTCATAACTCATTCCTCAAATGTGACATTACAACTACATTTTACTTGTAATGCTAAACAGGATTGGTGTCAATAGTTGAGCGCAAAAATACTTTCTCTTTCAAAGCAAATGAAATTAAACCCGGTTCGTAGTGGAGTTTATTTTGCGCAATATTAAGGTTAATTTTATAATGTTTTGTTACTAATCGTTGTTTTTTCGTCGATTTCTGTGTTTGGCTATTTTTTCTAACTATCATGTTTGTTCGAACCTTGGCATCTTCTCTCATTTGAAAACAACCAAAAAAGTGTATGGTTCATTATATTTGTTTTAGCGTTTGACATCTCAAACAAATGAACCCTCAGTATAGTCCATCTTCTGTTGATTTTTTTTATTTCTAACTTCAGTCTTTAGTTTTTTATGCTGTGTTTTGTGTACTGTTGTTTGTCTGTTCGTCTTTTACTTTTTAGTCATGGTGTTGTTAGTTTATTTTCGCTATATGAGTTTGAATATCCCTTTGGAATCCTTTGCCTCTCTTTTACGTCATTTTGTATATTTGAACAGATTAGTAGTTTATATGTTGATTTAAATACTGCATTTACTACAAACAACGTACTTGTTTCAGACTAGTATCTTATTTAGTAGATATGCATTATCATCTCATTATTCCTCATGTTTGATTGTTCAATAGGTTTCCTCTGTACTTGTCTCTGCCTATGTTTGCATATATACACGTTTTAATAAATTTGTCTTGGTTTTTAAAATTTTTTTTTACATTAATTTTGTTAAAAAAGGCATATGCTTATCATTTACTATTGTATGCACCTTCGTATGTCATCCAGGATGTGTTTAAATACATTCTGCCTACACATCCTTCAAAATTGTCCAAAAAAGGAGGATTTTCATTTGTTACTAATCTGCACATAGACGCACTGTCATACCAAGTTTGCATTTCGCGTTCTCCCGGTGGTCTTTCTGCTAAATGAAAATACATGGCATAACTCATAATTATTTAAAAGCATGGGATATCGTATTTATGCAATTGAAAACATTTGTATATGTACTCAAAAAAGTGAATTGAAAGAACAACTCTTTCTTACTAAGACTCGAACGTAATGACAGCTGTGCATAAGTTTTGTAAAGCTTATCTGTTTTAACTAACTCTTTATTTAACTTTTATATTGTAAAACTTTGAAACAAAGTAAATTAACGTATCATCATTGACGCACACGGACATCTTAACCTCAGCATTTCATACATAGACAATTTTTATGGTAAACATCGATCAAATAATACATGGATACGAATATAATGTCATAGTCTGATCCCTTATTGCCTTTGTATATATAAAACAAACCTGATTTACAAATAGTTATGCAAATGCTCATTCCTAAACAGAGTAGTGTCCATATGATAGACATATCAGCCATTTTGAATATATTTAAAAAAAAATTTTAATGCATTTCCGATAAAAGGAAATATTAAATTGATAAAACAAGGAAATTTAACAAAATATTTGATTTAGATTTATTTGTTAAGCCCTTACTTTCAAACGGAAATAGTTTTCCAAACTATACATGATATATTCAGATTGTGATCATACTATCATATACTTATGTGCATTTTAACAGCCACTGGGTCTATGCCACTGCTGGTGATGGTTTCTCCTCCTCCTCCACCAGCCCAGTTGTCAGCACTTCTATGTTGACATAATTGATAATGATTGATTTGTTCATGAGTATAAGTTTGCTGTTTCAAAACATTTTTTTTTTCGAAATACTAAGGATTTTCTAACCCAGAAAAGGATAACCTTAGCTGTATTTGGCAACACATCTTAATAAATGTTGGGCCCACAATGGAATTCGATTTCCAAATTTTATTTGACCTTTTTAACTGTTTTGATTCGAACGTCACTGATGAGTCTTATATTGACAAAACTCCCGTATGGCGAACTTAATTTCAATCCTGGCATCTATGAACAGTTTATCGTCTCACCTATATTGTGATTTATTGATGAATTAAGGACATTTAGTACCTAGGTCAATGACAATGATTCGGTTACACGGCTACAAGTAGAAATATAAATAGATGAATTAAAACAATAAACAGTTGTCATTCCGGCGAATGTGACCTACTGATTCAGACTTATCAACGGGTTTGTGCTAAAATGAACAACACATTTTGAGCAGGATCTGCCTACCATTTCGAAGCACCACAGATCAAACCCTGGTTCTTGGTGGGGTCGTACAATCTTTGGTTGTTTTAATTGTGTTTTTGTACTGTTTCTTGTCTGTTTGTAATCTCATTTGTTAGCCATGGCGTAAACGCTCTTAAATAAACATCACCAATATGATGGTAAATACTGCAAATTAATAAAGAATAAACGTTTGAACGTACCAAAGAATGACTCAAGCAATTAGTACCCATTGTTATACCGACTGTTTGTTGAAATATCAACTCTCCAAACTCAACAAATGTATTGTGGATTAAAGGTTCAGCAGTTTGATAATATTATCTTCAGTGTATTTTCTGATAGAATCAATGTGCTTCTTCACAAAAGAATTATTATAACCCAAACAAGAAATTTATATCTACCATTCCCATTTTTATAGAAAGAAAGCTCTGTTAAATGGAATGGTGAAGTCGATCTTTCAATTGAGAATAATGAATAGCAGTGTAAAGCGTTGAAAATTATAGGTCCTAATTTTGTTGCAAAATTGCAAAGATTGTGATCTTTAGATATTTGGATTTTTTGAAAATCCATAAACCATAGATGTGGTAAAATGCAAATGCTTGTATATGTAGTTAAAATTTTATTTCTGTAACTCTATATGTATATACACGTTCAATATGTATTATATAGCAACAAATAAATGTCATTTTGCTTCAATACGTCAAACAAATTAACGGAAGAATTCAAACTTACAAAAAGAGGTTATGACAAGCTAGAAGATACATCTAACAGTTCGAAAAATATGTCATTAGAAAATTTAAACTTTTATAAATGTATGGCTTTTATCACAATGACTTAATTCATACATTGATATATTTATCCTGCAATCGACCTTTCTACTCCATGTACTATACAAATACAGGTGTACAGATAACACGAAGCGATATACGTATACTAGACGTATATAGTCTCCTTTTATCCAGCTTCTGTTGCGAGTGAACGATTATGTTAAATTACTGTTTACGTCACAGCTCAATTGTGGGTCCTCATTGCGGTCCGCATTTAAGTCAAGTCGATTTCTTTCAAAAACAAATTCAACGATTTGGAGGGGAAAAATGTACAAAATTAATTGCAGGATAAAGACAATAACTGTTAAGTGTCTTTTAATATCAACTGTATTTGTACTCTGCTCGAAACAGGAGAAATTGGTTGCAGAAGCTCGCATTACACCTGTTTCTTAGCTTCGTACAGATACAGCTGATATTTAAAGACACTTAACAGTTATTGTCTAAATGACAATCTAGGTTTAATGAAATGTTGTAATAAAGTTAGTGTTTGGCTATATCTCAAATACACTATAGGGACATGCATTAATAATGGGAAAAGAACATATCTTAATTAGTTTGGGAAAGACTATGAATATTATTAAATATCAATTGACAGACTTGTTTAAAAATGATAAAGGCACTTTATAATTTTATTAAACATCTGTTATTGATTCACGCACAGTCATCAAGGCTATTTGAATGTATGGCTTGTTCGACGGATGCTGGTGTTTTAAAAGTTTTCAATGAGAACATGCTTTGGAATTTCAGTTTCACTGAAGACCTTCGTGTGTCTGGTTTAGCATATTTCGATTGTTGATTAACTTTGTTTCGTAGTGTGCATTGAGTTGCACCCTCCATTGCTTCTGCCTTGTTAAACATATCGTTCCCTTCAATTATATTTTCAGCTAAATCTTCTTTTGCATTTTCAGCTGTAGGCGAATCATATACAAAATCATCCACACTTAATTCCGTTACGGTATACGCATCATTTCCACGTATCCGTGATTGTCTTTTCAAAATGGATTTCCGTATACTTCTTCCTCTGTGTACCATACCCTGCCTAATTTGAGAGAAAGCTCTGTGAAACTTTGAGGTTTCTTCCTCCCATGGATCTTCATACACCATATCGGATACCTTCTTTTTTGTGCTATTATTCCCATCTATGAAACATTTCTCGTCGGATTTCAAAGTAAAATCTAGGTGATGGTACTCACTTTCGGTTTCAATGCCAGTATTAATGTCTACTTTGTTTGATGGTATAGCATGTCTGACTAATTTCACTGCTGTATATGCAGCATTTTTATTGTTTGCTTTGTTTGTTGAAGTACCCTGTCTGACTGATTTCACTGCTGTAGATGTAGCATTTGTCGTGTTAACGTTGTTTGTTGATGAACCCGGTCTGATAGTATGCAGACCAGTATTTGCAGCATTTTCACTGTTTACGTGTTGTGTTGATGAACCCTGCTCGTTTGATTTCAGTGTTGTATATGTAGCATTTTCAGTGTTTGCGTTTTTTGTTGACGCATCCTGTCCAACTGAATTGAGAGCTGTATATGCAGAATTGTCAGTGTTTAACGTTGGCATGGATAACCTCTTTATATCGTTTTCACTTGGAATCCATTGCAAACCAAGATGATCGCTGCAAATGTCTTCAGTTGCAAAATAGATATCCCTTCTTGTCTTTATCGAATTTTGACCTTGTATTTCTAAACTGTACTGTTTCCTACAGAGAAAATGTATTTACAACTTTCAATAAATATATTTATAGCCTCAGATAGCAAGTCGATACTAAAATTTGGAAGCTAAAGATTATTTAAAAAATGCCCGTGGAAGTTGCAAAAATTATCTAATAATCATCACAGTTCAATACTTCAAGGCTATTAGAGTAGCATCTTGAATTTTAAAATAGCAGAAGTAAATCGGTTTACATCTTGAATGCAATGTGTACATCAACAACTTTTAATCTTAAGGGCATCCGATACAGTTTCACGTTATACAGTTTTTTCTATTATTTTGAAATATGTTGTAGCCCTGGACGAGTTATGAACGAAATCACCAAATAAAACATAGGTCACCGTGCTTGTTTTCGGGAAAATTGAGGCTGAAAATTAGGGATTTTTGCAATTTAGTAAAACAGTTGAGCAAAGTTATACAAATTTTGGAGTAGATATTCTTCGCCATAAATTGTTAAAATTGGATTCAATCTGAAGTTGTGATAAGTGAAAATAAGAGAAAAACAAATCCCGCCAAGAATGACTAGTTAATTATTCAAGCCATGCTTAAAATTATGGATAAGATGCTCAAAGTGGGATATTTTTTTACCTTAAAATGTGGAAATCGAGAGGTTCTTATAATGTCATTTTTCTCATTTTTCTAAATGAACTGTCTTTTGTCATGCTTTCTCCAATAGCAAATAAAAATTATATGTCACCGTGCTGGATTCGAAGATAAATTGCGATATATCCTAACAATCGCATCCCCCCTTGGTAACTTCAACGTTAGCGCAAAAATGATCGACGCAGCTGGCTGACAGTTTCGACGTCTCCCGCCAATTATCCCTGCAAGGTTATCGGCGACATATTCCAAGTGTTTGTATATTGCTTTAAAAGAGCAACCTTAAAATAATAATATTGTTTTGGAAATTAAAAAAAATGTGTATTATAAATACCTCTCTCTCTTATTATGTTCATGTTCCAAGAGAGAAACATCTCAGGTATACCGTATAGTAATTGTGGACTGTTGATTTTTTTTTTACGGCTTCATTTAAAGACTCGCGGCAACTTAGAGCTAGACATGTAGGAACTGTACACACTCGTGTATTGTTGAAGATCATAATGTTGACATCTAGATATTTTTTGTTTTGGTTGGTGGGCTGCTGTTTCATTGACATACCCCCAAAACACCCTTTTATTCACATTTAATCGCTTTTAATAATTTTACATTTATTCATAAATTTCAAACTGTTATTCGGGTGAATGATTACAGTTCAAGAAAACTTTACAATAATCTTAAAATATTTCATAATTTTTGATCTGGCAAAAATGATTCAATTTATATCTGAAAAACGGGACATGTTACCTATACATGCATCCTTCATAACTTTGGTTTTTGGTTTTTGTGTCCTTTTTATTTATCTCCCAAATATCCAACATATACCGTCCGAAATTACAATTTAAAATCAAGTCACTTAAAGCATTTATAATCTGGTTAATAATTGTTCTGAAATACTTTATAATGTTGTAGAAACCTCATAGTACAGCTGTGATGATTTTTTAACATAGTTAAAGACCTTTAACAAAAGACTATCAGTGTGTAATAAATTTATGAAAAACCTGTCCATACCTCTTTTGCTTTTTTACTATTATATTGGCATACATTCTCCTCGTATTAACCAGTATTTCAAGTTTTTTTGTAAAAGTTTCGATTAAAATCGGAATACTTTCATTATAGCGTAATTTTGTTAGTAGATTTTTAACGGATTAAAAGACCTTTAAAAAAAGACTATCAGTGTGTAATAAATTTATGGAAAACTGGCCCTACCTCTTTTGATTTTGTACTACTATATTGGCATACATTCTTCTCGTATTAACCAGTATTTCACGTTTGTTTTGTAAAAGTTTCGATTAAAATCGGAATACTTTCATTATAGCGTAATTGTGTTAGTAAATTTCTATATATATTTTATTTTAAAAGTTGTATCATCGCTAATAATTGCGGCATACCATTGCGTCCTCTCATATTTGACATAAATAAATTGAATAAAATGTTCCGTAAGAAAATTTACTTCTTTTGAAGTGTTGATGTGGAATTACAATGATTAAAACTGGATTTCTGCGCTCTCTGAACTTTCAATATGAAAGTTACAAATTGACTTTGCTTGTTACTAAAATGCGCCGTAAAACTATTGTTTTGTGTGTTGTCAGACAATCGGATCAAAATCAAAATTCAATCGGGAATGAATGATAATAAAAATGATAATTGGCATGCATTATGTTAACACCAAAAGGGTCAGTCGTCTTGAGATTGCTCACCATACGATATTTTGTTGACTTCATTGTTCAAGACCTCACAGAAGCTTCAAGACGATGAACAGCAGAAACAGTAATAAGTGTTTAATTTCTTATGATTTTATATATCAATTGTTAGAATCAAAAGCACTAATCTTAAAGGCATAGAAGTTGACGTGTGTAAGAAACATAAGTTGGAGCATCGATTATACTAAATACCGTTCAAGCGGGGTTTTTTTATTACGGAAAATTACACGCATGACGTCCCACCGAAGTTCACGTTTTGGTGTAATTCGAACGCTTTAACGTCGCGCCACTTGTTAACTCCCTTGAAATTGAATCGGATGCCCTTAAGGAAGAAAATATTGTGTATTATCATTATTTTACGGCTGGTTCTGATAAAAACAGAATATTTTGTTGTTTGAATCTATTTCTTACTTCTTGTCCTATAACAAATATATGAGAGGAAATACCTCAGATAATGTAACTTTTATGAAGAAATGTGTAATACATTTACCCATTTTGATTTGTTTCTTATATCCGATTTCACCCTACATCTATAGAAGACCAAACTTTTCATATTTTATCGTAAATATCTATCGTTTTACCTTCTTTCTATCACATAAAATTGGGGTTTTAAGTATAATTTCTACAAAATCAGACAATGTCACACAACTTGTAGCTATGAAAAAGCTCCTTGAGCCATATTTGTTTATTTTTGAAATAAAGCATGATAAAAACAACATTTAGGCAAATAGAGCTGATATTTTTAGAACTGAACAAAATTTCCAAAAGCATTATGACTTTAAAGGGGCAAAACAGGACATGTGAAAACAATACTTTATAGGGGGAACTAATTACACACATACCTCTTTTGTCTGTATAAATACAATACAAATATAGCAGCAGATATAATAAGAATAGACAGAAATGCTGTGATACCTACAATGCAAAATTTTATTTTGTTCCCTCTATCTGAATTTCAATTAATTACGTGCAAGTTAATTAATCAGTGGTTTCATGGAAAAATAGTAAACTGTATAACAATGCATAATACATGCAAACAATTTATCACAATTAAGAATACATAAAATAAAATGAACTTATAAAGAATTCGAAGTACCAATCATTATGTTCCGGTCCGTTTACAAACTTGGTTTACACTGAAATCTGGCTTTCATCGACTTTATAAGTTTATGTTTATCTTTCCTGCTTTTTATACCGTTCATGGTTTTTTTTTCTGTAACTATTTTTTAATCAATATTTGATCTCCCTTTTTGATATTCTTTTATAAAGAGAAAACTTCATTAAGGATTTGTTTTTCTGGCGTTCGACTGCTGCGATAACTGTCACAGTGTAATGATGATAACCAAAAAACTACATCAAAATTTCAAAGTAAAAACATCTCAGTTTCCGTCGTGCCTACTTCTTATTTGTAAATTGACGTGCTTCAAAAACACTCACGTACATGTATCTTAATTTCAAATATTAAAACTGCAAAGTCATTTTTTTTTATAAAACAACAAAAACAGAACGAAAATCGAAAACTTCTCTGGATTTTTTAACTGTCTACAAATTTAACGTTATTGACAATTCTATAAACGTTTTACAAAGATGATCGTTATTATCATATGGATTGATGTCTGTAAATATTGACAATTCTAAATGTAAACTGGAACACAAAGAAATTCTTTAATTTTCAGCAAAAATATCATCACAACAAGTGTTTGAAAAAGTTAATTTTAGACTAATTGTAAACGATGCCGACATAATCCATTATCGGTAAGGTTCGCAAGCTTGCTGAACATTGAAATATTTGCTAGACATTTAGCTAGGGATTTTGAAATATAGGTATATTTGTAAGTATTATTCAAATGAACTGCACTGCAATGTGGGTAAAGATGGCTGTTCAAATAGTCTTACCAATGATTATGATAAAGACTTCAGTTATCCTTGTTCTATCAATTTCCTCATACTCCTCGAACGATTCGTATCCATTGCCATTGCTGTCTGTAGTATTATAACTTTTCGATGTTGCCTCAGAATACGTGTCTCGATTATCACTTGACGTAGTGTGTCGATATATTCCTGCAATGATCTCTTGTATTTAAAGAAAAAGAGGAAACAATAGTGTACCGATGTTCAGATTTCATAAAAAAATAAAAGTTATATCAGTAAATATAATATACAAAATTATTCGGAATTTATTGTATTTGCCCCAAACAGAGCGAGGCGGGATGCCTTGCTACTTGATGCGCCAGATGTGACTCTACACTTGATTTAATTGTCACAATAAGAAGTAAAAGAATATATAATTTATTTATCTTATCGTCTATCAATTTGACTTGAAAATGGCCCCTTTCTGCATGAATCTATCTTGACAATTGCACGCACCGAAATGATGTTATCTGATGATTATTCATGTAGCTTTTAAAATATTATTACACCTGATAGGGACCAGCAAATACAGACCAAATTCGAGTTTCTCTTTTATCTCTTCAAAAATATTGCTCACAATAGAGCAGAAATATCAATGTTGTTTAATTTCAAGTCTTCAGACGACAGTAGTTTACCCATTGTTCAAAACTTGTCTACGGTTCTACCGATTTACTTGAATTTAGAAATGTTGCTATAGACCTGTAAACAAGGATCAAGCCATGATTTCCCGTAAAAACAATAAACATTTAATTATCAATGTATTGATAAATTTCATTATTCATATTTTGATAAAAATTATAAATAAGACGCATTTGACTGCAAAAACAAAAAAAAAAAACATTTGCATGATTGTTTATTATTAATTGTTTTTGGCTTTCAACTAACTTTCAGTAACTGCGAGTACTCTCAAATCGTACTTTTGTGTTAATTTGACCTGTTGATACAATTTATAATGCATTTTTGCTATTCAATGTTTACTTATTTTGTGTTATATCTTTTCTCACTATTTTTGATATATACCACATTTTATAAATATTTGGTATGACTATAGGTTTTCACTTCTGTTTGCGTAATATGAACAACGAATTTATTTATTTTGTAAAAAATATTTCCGTACTCCATGTACTCCTTACAACACAATTATGATATTTACCTGTGTACGTTATTTTATTCAACGCCATTTTGTCCAAGGTTATAGTTGTCTTTCTGATATTGTTTAACATCTCCCCCTTTTGTATTACTAATGTATTTACATTGTGTCATAGATCAACTTTATTCGTTCAGTGTTTATATACTTGTTTTTGTTAATATGTCTTTTGATTGAGTTAAGCCATTTCAATTGATATTTTATGGTGTCTTTCTATGTTGTGATGTTAGACTGCTGTTTCAGGTTAGGGTAAAGGTTTGCGCCTGTAAAAACGTTTTAACCCGCTACATTTGTTTGCACCTGTCCTCTGTCAGGAACATGTTCAGTGGTTGTCGTTTGTTGATGTGATTCATAAGTGTTTCTCGTTTTTTATATAGTGAGACCGTTGGTTTTCCTGTTTGAATGGTTTAACGCTAGTCAATTATGGGGCTCTTTATAGCTTGATCTTCGGTGTGAGCCAAGGCGCCGTTTTGAAGGCCGTACTTTGACTTATAATGGTTTACTTTTTACAAATTGTGACTTAGATGGAGAGTTGTCTCATTGGCACTCATACCACATCGTCTTATATCTATATACGAATAATAGAATTTGTTTACTCACAGTGTACAATTTAATATATTTCATTAAATATGTATACTAGCAATTATCGCACGCCCTACATTTCAGGATGTGGTTGTAGTCTAAGGATACGCTCACACACAATTGTATCGACCTTTTGGTATTACTATAAAATTCACGATACCAAAATTACAACCATTGTGGTAAGAACGCATGCAATTGTAGTCTTACCAGTATTCAATGTATCAGCTGTTATTGCAGATGTGTATGCAGGAGAACATCTGAATGGTAGAACATTGTTACAAGGTAATTTTCTTACAGCAGGTAGATGTCCAACATTCTGTGATGCATATAAACATCTCTGATTTCTATGTTTTTTCATGATATCTTAAAGAGAAACGAAATAGTAATAACTTCCAAGTTGACACATTCATCATTGATTTATCAAAACAAGCAAACAAAAACATTTCAAGAAAAAAATAAATAAGTAGAAATAAAAAGATGTGGTATGAGTGCCAATGAGACAACTCTCCATCCAAGTGATTTGATACAATGTTGTTGATATTAATGAGAATAATTACCTTTCAAAGCATCGATGTCAGTGGTATTATCTACCCATCGTTCCGTCAAAAATCTAAAAACGTTTGTCCAATATGATTTCCCTTCAAAAGTAACATTTTGAAATCTAGTACTATCTTTGACGGAGTAGTAATCCAAAATATTACACTTCTTTTTTGCCACAGCATACGTATAATTATTGTCGTCAATAACACTAAATTCTGAAAAAAATATGAAGGTTGGCTTTTTAACAGTACAGTCCTCCAGTACTATTTTAAACCTTTAAAACCTACCAATACTAGGAGAAATCGATCATTCTGAAATCCAGAAGATTGAAAAATACAGTATGAAAAGTAAATGAAGAAAAAAATATTTTGTTACTTTAAGTAAATGTAGTTAAAAATTAATAAAAACCATTAGATAAATACTACTAGTAGTTTTTCTCTGAATAGGTAATACAAATCATTAACTCAAACGGTATTTGAAGTATAGCAACATAATCATCTATGGAATTTTCCTGTTCCGACAGTAAAGTCCTTGCTAGAGTGGGGCGTCCGTTTGGATGTGTGGGATGTACAAAACGTAGCCAAGTTCGACTTTGATAAGAGTTCAACGCTTATTATATAACCCTTTTAACAGCTCCGTTGGTGACCTGTCGTAGAAATCCTATTTTGTTTTTCATTGAGAGACCAAATTTCCCAATTTTCATCCCAGTCGAGCAATCTTTCAAAACCTACCTTTTATATGAACAGTTTTTCTGTGTGTTAACCTGAACTTGCATAGAGTGAATGAACTGGACGTTAAGCAATCAAAAATCTACCAATTATTGAAACCCCATTTGGAATCGTTACACTCTTTAAGCAATAACCTCATATTCAATATAATGAACCATTTGTTTTTCAATAAAATATGAAAGTTAGGTGGATGTCGATGAGACATTAAGCCTTCGACACAAACCATTATATAATACCTTAATACATTAATTTGAAAGAGAGAAAAAAAAACAGAAATCAAAGATATAAGGTAATTGTTATGTCCACATGGCGCATGTTTCGTCTACCAAAGTTTCAATACGTATTGCCGCTTAAATCAAAGTCAAAGAATCAAAGTCAAATTAGAATATAAATAGACTCATCATCGATATCAGATTTAAATTTGTGTACGCCAAACTCATCAGTGACACTCGAATAAAAACAGATAATAAGGTATTGAAGAACCAAATTTCCGAAGGTTTTGCCAAAAATAGCCAAGGTAATATATGAATTGAAAACCACTGACCACAAAACGAGTTGTGCCAAATCCGACAAAGGCCATCTTTGCCAGAATGTAGAATAGAAAAGGATGAATTTTCGCTACAAATTAAAGTGTTCCCTCGTAAATGTTGTAGAATTCAATAACAATTGTGTGAAGTTGCACTTATTGTTAGTAGTGTTCATTTATTACCCCATAAAAGTGTTTTATTTAAATATTAAAAACCTTAAAAATATATACCACGGGTTGTTTTAATACGTTAAAACGCTTGGACCTCTATGAAACAGCAATACTTTTTTGTGAAAACATTTAACGGATATATTTTTCATGTGTCATGAAATCAAAATCGAATACAACAAAAATATTAAGATACTGACGAGATTGGGACATACAGGGCTTCCGTGTTAGCATTTCCATTCCATCTGTGAATTATTCATGTTATTTAAATAGTATTTATTATTATTGGAACTTCCCTATATGTTTGTGCGAAAGTCTGAAGTTCACCGTAAGAAAAAAAAATCTATTTTTTTTTAAACATTCATTACTTCTATGTCTCATTATAGTATAACAATGTTAGCAAACATCTTCATATATGTTTTTTTTAATCTTTTTTTTATCTAATTTAACGATCTACATGTGATCAATATACAGTGACCTTCAATAGAATTATTTGAAGGCATGATAACTACACACAATGTTTCAAGTGAAATAATTGTTTCAATTTCTTTTTACTCATCTGAATATGGCTGAACTTGTGAACAATATTTACAGCACAATAGTGCATATTTATTTACGTACCTTTTACTGATGTTTCACATAAGACCGAGTGCTTTGTATCACACTGTGCAGCCTTCACAGATAATGTATTCGTTTTGTTGTCGAGTTGTATAATTGTACAATGCAGTTTCTGGTTATTAAAATCTATTGGGTTCTCTGAATCTAAAAGAACAAACACGTATCTTTGATAGTCATTGTTTTACATGTAAGTATTTCCTTACCTGTCTATACGCGTACGATGATTGGCCTCCACGATATAGCCAAGACTGTAGAAAGTGGTGCAAAACACCAACAATCATCAATCATCAATCAAGATAATTGAGCGCTTTGCATTAAAAATGTATTAAAAAGATACCGAGCTCAAATGTAAATTTAGAAGTACATTTGTTTGAGACAGAATATTAACATATCTTGACCATTGATTAAAGTTACTTTAATTAATCATGTTAATAGACAAATAGTTTTCTGGAAATAAAAAAGTGATGTATTGCTATCAGCCTGAACGAAAATGTTGTTTATAAAAAGACAAGTGTTTTCTTTTAAGCTTCATATGCTTATTGGTCAACGTCGTTAGTAACATGGTATCTTTCAATCATTTGATCTGGTATTTATTTGTAGAGGAAAGCCAATATTTTCTTTTGTATATATGTAGTTGGAAATTAGTCAGACTTCAATACTTAAATACTTCTGTTATTTATTTTTTTATTATTTTTTTTTTTTGGTTTGAAAATCAGTAGAAAACTGTTTAAGATATAGCGAAAGAGCACGTATTACTCGCCGTATGAAATCTACCCCGCTTTTAGAGAGTACTATTGAGAGACTTAATATTACAGTCTGAGTTTGATAACAGCATTTGCATTTATTCTTTGTTGCGGTATGATTTTGATTTCAATTGTCACTAAACATTATATTAGAGTTAGGTTCTATTTGTGAACTGATTTTTATATGTTTTTTTTTTACGTAATTTTTGTTTGTCCACTTGTCGGAATAAACGTAGATATTTTGATGTCTAAAACACTAGTAAAGCCAAGCCGCGTATCATAATCCATTCCAGGAACGTAATATATGTGTTATGTTTGTGATACATATTTTTTTTACATTCGGAGAACATGAAGTTGCGGTTCGATCTTTGATTATCTTTGTTAAATTCAAAAATAATTTTTGGACGATATGGTGCTTAAGATATTGGGTTGATACTATTCTAAAATCTGGGATCTAAACTAAATGTTTGAATAGTCTTTCGTTAGATATCATACTCTCATTGACGTGTATACCAAACATCTCCTCGTGGATCGGATAACTTAAGATTTTCACAATCAAGTTCTCGGTTGCTGATTATTATTACCTTTTGTTATTTTTATAGTTTTGTAGACATTAAAGTATTTATGTCTTTTTCCAGATTTGCAATCTTCCGGATGAGTTGTTTGTAGATTCTTCTTTGAGGTCAAACATCTGCAATGTTCATACTGCAACGAAACATGCAAAACACATTAGTTTGTGTCATTTTGATAAGATTATTCATATCAATAATACAATTACAATGTTATTCTAATAATCTGTTTTGATTTGTTAAAATTTACAACATGTTTAATGTCTCAAATTGACTTTTAGATGAAAAACAGCAATACAAGCGCTTTGTCATTTGTTATCATTGTGTCCAAAGATTGCATGGATTTTTTCATTTGAATTGGAAACCGTATCCCTTTATTTTGACTATGATTTTTTTTATTTTTTAAATGATAACAAATTAATTAGTCTTAATCTGTTACAAGTACCTTATTGCTACAGCTTTCACGAACAAAGTACCCTGAAATATTCATATCTTGAAGAGCACGGTATCTTAAAGGTTACAATGTCTTTATAATGGTTAAATAGCTACACATTTAACTACAATATGCAAGCAAATCATCTAGATTAGTAGTTACGTAAATTTGTTCCGGCATTGACTTTTGCTTTTCCATCCTTAAACAGTCTACATAATACACACTGTATTTTTTTATTGCGCTTGTCAAGTGTGATACAATAATCGTAACCTGGCATGCTTGGAGGATATATTCTTTATGTTGATCTTATCAACTATGATTTGTTTCATGTTTTACGGTTTAGTATTTCAGAGGTCTTCTTTCGGAATAAATCAATATGAAATTTGACGGACTAAATATACTATAATCATATCAAAATGTACTGATTACCTCTAATGTAAAATATTTAAATGCGTCACATTTTGATAGACAGGCTGCTGAAGAGATATTTGGATAGCGATCAGAGTCGTCTTTAAAACTTGTGACATTGTAGAAACAACCTAAAATTACAATAAATATAATTTTAATAAATATCAGAATACATAAACGATGTATATAATATATGTGAAAAGAAAGACACAAACTAATCAATCGAAAATCGAATATAAACAATCCACCACTTTTGCATCATGTGTGTCCATCTTATCTAAAATAAATGCATAAGTGTGTAGATGCTGTATTCTAAACAAGACTTGTTTTTTTATGCTTGTTTAAAAAAAAAAAATTTTTTCTTTCATGTCACTCAATGAAATTGTTAAAACTACATTTAAAGACTAAAACAGAATGACAACCCCTATATTCTCACTTTGTTGTAAACCCTGGAGTAAAGTTCAAATACATAAGTATATTATCATACTAATTTAGGTAAAAGATGTCAGTGTATTTTTTCTGCTACATACCTAGGTATGCTACCCATGGAGTTGTTAGGTAATAGCCTCCTATCCACGATAAAGGGTATGATTCATTCAATGTTATAATTTCTTGTCGATTCGCAAGAGTACATCTTGATGCGCTGTTAATCCATGTAAGATAATCTACAATACATATGTTTAAATTACTAATAGTATATGGTTAGCAGTTATGTTCAATAATATGAAGTGATTTGTAATTATCGGAACTACTAGCATGAATTAACTGAATGCACTTAAGGTAGATGGGGGGTCTTAATTTAAATCCATAGAATTTTTTGATAATTTGTCAAAATGAAGTTTATATCACGCTTTTTTTTTAAAATATAATAAAAAGTATCGGTCACCGCGCTATATTTCACGCTACTGGTTGAGCAAAATTGTCAGATTTTGTATAGATTATGCATGGAAATCCCAAATTTGGGTGATAAAAAGAAAACTACACCATAGAATTTGAAGATAAAATATGAGAATATAGCTCTAATAATATGCTTTCAGATAAGAAAAAGAAATAATGGGGTCACGGGACTCGTTTTCTTGCTACATAATAAAATAGGTAATTCACAACACATTCTATTACAAAAGTTACTTTATCGAGTTATCTCCCCTTGTATCTGAGTTGTCTACCCTTATATGGCAAAATTTTTAAAAAATGAATAAAACAAAAATAACCTGATTTTTGTAAAATACAGCCGTTAATATGATAAAACACATAATTTTCTATATTAAAATGAAAAGTCTTACACATGAATTACATACTACTCTCGAAATTTGCTAATTTCATTAAAGATCTAGACCGATTGTTATCTGCTTTTTCAAAATCCAAGATGGAGTAAGACACCCTATCTACCTTAACGTGATGCAAAACTATAAACATACCTCCAGAAATCAATCCAGCCAAAACAGAATAACTAATGAAGACTAACATTAGATTTCCAACCATTTTGATATCTGTATTTATCAATGATCAATTTAAATGCGGAAATAATAATATGAATTGTATACGTTTCAATTGATTTGAATTAATACAATATACATATTATTCTAAAAAAAAAAAAACGACCCTACAAATAAAACATTGTAAGCCTGTACAAGGTCTGGCTATATGGACCATGTGTTGTTCGTTGGTGTTTGTCTTTGTGTGCAATCTGGTTTTTTTTTAGAGCGGTATATTTTTGTGAATATATGAAACTCGTTGTTTCCACTTTTTGCATAATTGATGAAATTCGGGCTTCGTTTAAAATAAGCAGACTCCATTATGTAGAAAATTAAATATGAGTTTTGCTTGGAATAAAAAATTGTCTATAGCTAACGTGGGCGTACCCAAATTGCATCTGTTTTGACAATTTTATGCACCTACGTTTATATATTATCCAGACAAAAGTTTCAATTCTGTGTTTAGTTTGTACATGTATCCTTATTTACTGTATAGTTCTACCAATCTTATTTTGAATCCATATTGAATCATAGAAAATCGGGTTTGAACCGACCTCCAAACGATCCATGATTCTGAAATAAAGTACCCAAATTGCACTCATGTTTATATTCACATTCGTAAAAATAACAAAATTGATGGTTTGTTTTATTTCTCCAAATATTTAGAACAATTTGACAATAGTCCATGCTTACTATTCATTTCTTAAGAAATGGATGCCTGTAACATATTTTAATTGCTCATTTTTAAAGTTGATATTTTGAGGACGTCGCTTCCTACGTTTCCGTAGATTTTACTTTTTCCAGTGAATACTTCATCTGTCGATATATACTGTGAACTTTTTTTGTATATTTGAATATTTTATGTTGTTGAAAGACGTTCATAATGTCAAATAAAATAAAATGTTTAGTCGCTAAGGAAACTTGTAAGATTTCTGCAGCTATATTCGCTAAATGGGTGCAATTGGGACACTCGGTGCAATTTGGGTACTGTGACCTTATTTTTTGAAGTGATTTGTGCATATCATTTATATCATTTTTATAAGAACTGTTATTAATATGTTTATTAAGTCAACTTGAAAAAATCCGTGTTGTATATGACAACACTACAGCAAGAACAACAAAACAATCCAGAGGTCAGCATTTAGTCTTAAAAAAAATAGAAGTTTAAACAATTTTGAAATGTCAAACGATTGTTAAGGTGGTACCTAACACAACAGGGAGATAACTCTGTAAAAATCAGCTAAACGTTTTAATTACGTTGTATTGTTAAGGAAATATTAAGCTTCTCAATGATCAAAATTAGTGTTTTTCAAACTGCTATATAACCAATGAAATTTTTCTGATAAAGTGGTTGGTTCAAATTTTTTGAAATTTTTATATTTTTGTCAAAGGGTCAAAGTAAACATTTTGTCAAAATTTTATGAAAATTAAACGAGCCAAATTAATATTAGTCAAGGTGTTGGGTACCACCTTAAATGTCTTTAACAAAATGTATCAATTCTAACTGAAGATAACGTTTATAAATGTGATCCCTCCGAAACATTTCTGACTTAGTCTTCATCAGGAACGCCCACACCCAAACATTTGAAAGCCGAAGTTGTACAGGTACTTGATTACGAGAAGGCACATACATATACATAGCCGAAAAATAATTGTCAGTAAATCAAACAAGAAAATGACCACATTAAACTACATAAATCAAAACAATATATATTAAGCCATGCAACACACTCATAAGTCATGAAAATGAAATATGAATAATGATGACTTATCCGGTGTATCAAATACCAGAACACCGCATAACTGATTAAGTTATGCAAATTTTAATTTCACTATAAGTAACACAATTGACATCCAAAATTAAGCATGAAAAGCTTACATTTCCCGAAACCCCTACTTCACCCCTTTTCCGAGATGTATGTTTCTCAGAATGCCCTGTGACTATTATTTAGCATGTTTAGCATGTTGTCTCATTGTACATGAAGTCACGATAATGTCTTGCATTGGACGTTTTTCAACTTGCCTATTCAACGTTTAGGAATCTAATTCAGTGCAGCATTTAAAAAATCGTACACTAATCAGTTGATTGCCTTATCACGTTCAAATGAAAATGCCACCAATGAAGTAACGTTATTTTCATTTTGGGGGTATGAACCATGATATTCACATGATCCTTTAGATTCTGAAACGTAAGTCAACATAAACACATTGGTATATGCAATACTTCTCTGATCGTCCTCCAAATCATGAATTGAAGTTTGGTGTAGTTGACTTCATGACGACCTGATCTTCAAAATATATGTCCTATTGACTTGGCGAAATATGAAACCTTAGGAAAAAACAAATATATTTTTGGGGTGAATAAGGAAAACTAAAACGAATGACTTTGTTGTCGCTGCGTTGATTATATAACACTATTGCTATTTATCGGTGGTACTTCGGCAGACTTTTTTTAGCAAATTATTATTATTTATCGTTATATAATATAATTACGGCAATGTCTCTTAAATCACAGCGTACAATTCATTTTTTGATTAAATTGAATATTAACAAAAATAAGTTACTATGATACTATAACGATTGTACGTACTTATATGAAAGGCGGAAATAATACAACTTCAAGTATAGTGACCTGTGTCAAGTACTTATTTCCACCTCATTTTACAATAATTTATCAAACCTATTCACGTTTTTGGAAAATTGAAAATTACATCCAAAAAGGAAGGATGTCGATATTTAGTTATTTATTGTATATCTAGTGCGAAATTAATTACAATTAACAAATGAGGTTAAGTATTTCCTCATTTCTAAATGTTATTTTTGTAGTGTTTCCTTTATCTGTCGATAGGGACAGGTTTATTTTTTTCAGAGGGTATTATTAGCGCGAATGCCAACACTTGTGATGAACCTCAATTCGAAATTTATAAGCACTATAATTTAGAGATTTCAACAAAATGTACCATTGTTGTTTTTCTACATAATGTGATAAAGATATACATACATATTTAATTACTTATGTACTTTCCTTTTTGATTAACACGATTACTCAAAGACTTAGCACATAAACTATTGATGGTGCAATTGCCCCATTTGATCAAAACCCCTAGTTGACATTAACGCTAGCTCCGTTTGGCCATGATGTAAGTGGTGCTTTGGTGTGAAAGTGTCAGGACCTTCATAGCCAAGGACATAAACATTGCTTTTTCGATGCTCAAATGAATTAAAGCTATCTTATTTCATCACATTTTAAGTCAATAATTTCAGATAATTCTGGTTTTCTTTTCTTCTTTTTGTTTGTTTTTGATACAATACATTTTTTTAGTTAAAAAAGTCGTTTCATTCTCTTACTTATCAAGCTATTGGTCGAACAATAACAATTTTGAGGTTGGTTATGCGTTGTTATTGAAAAAAAAATATATGTCAACTGTCCTCTATTTTATTTTATTGAAATTTAGATGAGAACAACATTTGAACATAAAGATATAATAATAAGACCCCACCCAACACTACCACTCGACCAACCGGATAGTTGAAATGGTCGTTCTAGATGAAAATATAAACAATCAGATCAGTGATTACGCAACATCTGATGCATCAGGAAATAATAACTCAAATGATTTCCTGGTTTCTATTTTTAACTGTACATAGTTTAATGGTCGCGGAGGAACAAAGTCGTTATTGTCATAAAAAAAGTAAAACATCAACATAACCATATATATGTACTCCGTCGCTGAAAAATTTTAAAGCATATTGGTAACAGTTGGAATATGAAATTGGATAAAATGGCTGCACCTCTTAAGTTTTTAATGCATTCTTATGTATCGTATTTTAATAAAACAAAATTGTCTGAGCACATTCTTAACAGTTCAAAATCTGTCAAAAAGTCCAGATACGTTCATATTGGCCTGTTCTCGTGTATTATTGTTGGTTGTTAATCTTGAACAGCTAAAACCGCAAATATCTTTTCTTTTTTGGTCTTAACTTCTAAACTTGATAGATAATGCCGTTCCATATTGATACTTACGTAATTACCGCTTAAGCCTATCTTAGAACTCAATAAATCAATAAGATTTCGTATCATCCTCTTTCAAAATGCAAAAATGCACTACTAACACTGTGTTGTCTACTTTGAACGAAATTAATTACTTTTATTATAATTATGTCTATAACTTATAATCATGTCTATGCATGTTATTGTAAAAACAAGTTTTTATTTATCAAAGCCGACACAAAAAAAAAAATCATAATTATTCATTTGTATCAAAAAGGTCGCGATCACTAGATTTCCTGGCGTCAGTAAATTTTGCATAATAATTTTCCAAATAGAAGGTAAACATGGCCTTTAAAAACTGACTAATCGTCTCAATGAACTACAATGCATTGTGGGCTACTTCGAGTTTACTTCCACTTAAAAACACGTGGAATAATAGGAAAACTGTCAACTTGTATAGTGTCTGGGACTCTCATAATAAATGTTTTTGTTCAGCCAATGTATTAAATGTAAAATATATAACATAAACTTTAATTTGTATGCTCATTAAAAAAATAGTGTTGACTGGCTTGTAAAAGTCGTTGAACAGGTTTTGTCCATTGTTGTCCTTTAATTTCACGTGAAACAGTGAAATTTTCAATGAAGTGACCACTGTCCAGTATAAAAATCATTACAGCTCTTTGAAAGCTGTCAAAACGGTTTGAAGGAATAGGATACACGCCTATCTCTATATTTGCTCTTGGATAATTTGTATCCTGTAAAATGCCGTCCCAAAAACATTGCTGCTTCGAAAAACACAAAGAACATGGCACTGAAACACTGCTTAATTTCAAACATGTTCCAGTTGTGGCGTTACAGGCTGCCCGGCAATATGGATGTAACGACAGATACAGACTTATCTACACTGGATGTGTAAACTTTTTATCAGGACCTGATCTAAAAGTATGTATATCATATTCAGTATTCTCAAAAAATTGTGTTGTAAAAAATGGGGACAGGAAATAGCTTCACATAGTTTGTATATTTTTGT